GTGTGACACAGAGTGTTGGACTGGATTAGCCACTGGCCTGATCCAACATTGGCTTCTCTGTTATGTTCTTATGTCTGGGGCAAGGGATGCTCTGTATTCTTGGTGCTTCGGGGGGCAACAGTGGGAGGGCTTCTAGTGTCCTGGCCCCACTGCTGGACCTCCTGATGGCCCCTGGTATTTCTGGCCACTGTGTGACATAGAGTGTTGGACTGGATGGGCCATTAGCCTGATCCAGCATTGACTTCTCTTATGTTGTTCTGTCTGGGGCAAGGGATGCTCTGTATTCTTGGTGCTTGGGGGTGGGGGGGGGGCAACAGTGGGAGGGCTTCTGAAGTCCTGGCCCCACTGGTGGACCTCCTGAGGGCACCTGGTATTTTTGGCCACTGTGTGACACAGAGTGTTGGACTGGATGGGCCACTGGCCTGATCCAACACTGGCTTCTCTTATGTTCTTATGTTAAGAGCAGAGGTCCATCAGTGGCTCTTAGCCACAAGATATAGATAGGAGCTCTCAGTCTAGGGCAAGGGATGCTCTCTCTTCTTGGTGCTTGGGGGGGCAACAGTGGGAGGGCTCCTAATGTCCTGGCCCCACTGGTGGACCTCCTGATGGCCCCTGGGAATTTTGGCCACTGTGTGACACAGAGTGTTGGACTGGATGGGCCACTGGCCCGATCCAACACTGGCGTCTCTTACGTTCTTATGATGTGAGGAGTTGACCCAGGTGTGTGTGTGTGTCCCCCCCCCCCACGGCCTTGTTAAAGCCTTCGTTGAATGGATTCTGTTTTGCTTGTGTGTCTGTCCTGCCTGTCTTTGATGGCCTACCTCATTTTCTGGTGTTCCGTCGTTCCTTTTGGGTGCGCTGATCAGTTGGGGGTCCGTCATCAAGCTTCCCATAATGCCGCTGCGGCTTCTGTTTCATGTCTGCAGGTGTGGCACCTTAATCGACCTCTGCCGCGGCCCCCACGTCAGGCATACGGGCACGATCCGAGCACTGAAGCTCCTGAAGGTGGGTGTTCTTGGGCTTCAGAGTGGGGGGGGTGCAGCCGCTGGATGAGACCCACGGCCCCGATGTTGAGGCATTCATAGAATCACAGAGTCGGAAGGGACCCTACAGGCCATCTAGTCCCACCCCCTGTTCAATGCAGGATAATAGAAACATAGAATGTTAGAGTTGGAAGGGACCTTGCAGGTCATCTAGTCCAACCCCCCGCACTCTGCAGGAGCAGAGCCGAAAGATAGCCCTACAACATACCCGAAAGAGGGTCGTCCAGCCTCCGCTTGAAAACGTCCAGCGAAGGAGCATCCACCACTTCCCGAGGCAGACTGCTCCACTGCTCAACTCCTGATATTTAGCCGGTAACGACTCCATTGTCATTTCCACCCATTAGATCTAGTCTTGCAATCTGGAGCAAGGGAGAATAGATCCGCTCCATCCTCTACATGACAGCCCTTCAGGTACTTGAAGACTGCAATCGTGTCCCCTCTAAGCCTTCTCTTTCCCAGGCTAAACAGACCCAACCCTTTCCTCCTAAGACTTGGATTCCAACCCTCTCACCATCCTGGTTGCCCTCTTCTGGACACGCTTGAGCTTGTCAGCATCCTTCTTCAAATGTGGTGCCCAAAACTGGACACAGGACTCCAGGTGAGGCCTGACCATAGCAGAATAGAGCAGAACTACCACCTCCCGTGACCTGGACACAATGCTACTCACCATGCTTAGCATGCAGAAGGTCCCAGGTTCAATCCCCGGCATCTCCAGTTAAAAGGACCAGGCAGGAGGGGCTGGGAAAGACCTCCGCCTGAGACCCTGGAGAGCTGTCAAGAGGGGCTGTGGCTCAGTGGCAGAGCCTCTGCTTGGCATACGGAAGGTCCCAGGTTCAATCCCCGGCATCTCCAGTTAAAAGGACCAGGCAGGAGGGGCTGGGAAAGACCTCCGCCTGAGACCCTGGAGAGCTGTCAAGAGGGGCTGTGGCTCAGTGGCAGAGCCTCTGCTTGGCATACGGAAGGTCCCAGGTTCAATCCCCGGCATCTCCAGTTAAAAGGACCAGGCAGGAGGGGCTGGGAAAGACCTCCGCCTGAGACCCTGGAGAGCTGTCAAGAGGGGCTGTGGCTCAGTGGCAGAGCCTCTGCTTGGCATACGGAAGGTCCCAGGTTCAATCCCCGGCATCTCCAGTTAAAAGGACCAGGCAGGAGGGGCTGGGAAAGACCTCCGCCTGAGACCCTGGAGAGCTGTCAAGAGGGGCTGTGGCTCAGTGGCAGAGCCTCTGCTTGGCATACGGAAGGTCCCAGGTTCAATCCCCGGCATCTCCAGTTAAAAGGACCAGGCAGGAGGGGCTGGGAAAGACCTCCGCCTGAGACCCTGGAGAGCTGTCAAGAGGGGCTGTGGCTCAGTGGAAGAGCCTCTGCCAGGTAAGGACCAGGTAAGAGGTGATATGACAGACCGCTGCCTGAGGTCCTGGAGAGCAGCTGCCAGTCTGAGTCGACGATACTGACCTTGATGGCCTGATGCACTGTAAGACAACTTCATGAGTGCCCCTTTTGGTTCAGGAAGCCATTTTCTCCAGGCCAGTTTGGCCGGGGATCCTGGAGGGTTTTTTGCCATCTTCTGGACATGGATCGGGGGGGGAGGCATTTGTGAATTTCTTCCATTGTTGGACTAGATGACCCTGGAGGTCCCTTCCAGCTCTGTGAGTCTCTGTGTACGGTTGGTGCAGACGCCCAGATTGCCGCTTTGCTCTTGACCCCAGCGCTAAATCCTCCCCCCCCCCCCCCCCTCTTCTTGGCAGAATGCTTCCGCCCATTGGCAAGGGGACCCTTCCGCGGAGGCCTTGCAGCGCATCTACGGCATCTCCTTCCCCAGTGCCAAGCAGCTGTCCGAGTGGGAATGCGCCCAGGAGGAGGCCGCGCGGCGGGACCATCGGCGAATCGGCAAGGTGTGTGTCAGCGAAAGTAGTGTGAGGGGTGTGCCCTGTGTACCTTGGGGAAGGCAACACGCTGGCTTTCCTATACACGGCACATATGATCTATGTTATTTTAAACTGTTGTTTTAAATTTGTATATAGCAAAAAAACATAAAGACCAACAGTAAAACTTTCTTCAGGTAATACTCAAGACCTGGTGAGAGATGTAAGAGTGATTGCACCGCTTGGGAACAGTGATCACAATGTTGTTGTGTTCAACATTTGTATAAATAGGGAATTGGCCAATAAGACTCACACAACCACTTTTAACTTTAAAAGGGGTAACTTCTCTGATATGAAGGGACATGTGGGGAGAAAACTGAAAGGAAAAGTAGAAAGGGTCAAAACCACTGGGGAAGCTTGGAAACTATTTAAAACTATGATCCTGGAGGCTCTAAAAAAAATATTCCGCAGGTTAGGAAAGGCACTGCATGGTTAAGAAACAGACTTCCTTTAAGCAGTGGAAAGCTAGTCACAGTGAGGCTGATAAAACGGAACACAGGCTATGGCAAATAAAATGCAAGTCTGAGGTCAGGCAGGCAAAAAGGGAATATGAGGAGCATATAGCAAAAAACGTAAAAACCAACAATAAAACTTTCTTCAAATACATTAGAAACAGGAAACCAGCCAGGGAGGCAGTGGGGCCCTTGGACGACCAAGGGGTAAAAGGAGTATTGAAGGATGATAGGGAAATGGCTGAGAAGCTAAATGCATTCTTTGCCTCCGTCTTCACTGTGGAAGATGAGAAGTGCTTGCCCACTCCAGAACCACTGATTTCAGGAGGGGTGTTGGAAGACCTGAGTCAGATTGAGGTGACGAGAGAGGAGGTCCTAAAACTGATAGACAACTTAAAAACTGAAAAATCACCAGGCCCAGATGGCATACATCCGAGAGTTCTGAAAGAACTCAAATGTGAACTTGTAGATCTCCTGACAAAGATATGTAATCTTTCCTTAAAATCTGCCTCCATTCCTGAGGATTGGAAGGTAGCAAATGTCACTCCCATCTTTAAAAAGGGTTCCAGAGGAGATCCGGGAAATTACAGGCCAGTCAGTCTGACGTCGATACCGGGTAAATTGGTGGAAACCATTATTAAGGAAAGAATTAGTAGGCACATAGATGAACAAAACCTATTGAGGCAGACTCAGCACGGTTTCTGTAAGGGAAGATCTTGTCTCACTAACCTGTTAGTGTTCTTTGAGGGGGTGAACAAACATGTGGACAAGGGGGATCCAATAGATATTATTTACCTTGACTTCCAGAAAGCTTTTGATAAAGTTCCTCATCAAAGGCTCCTAAGTAAGCTCAAAAATCATGGGATAGAAGGACAAGTCCTTTTATGGATCAAAAACTGGCTAGTTCATAGAAAACAGAGAGTGAGTGTAGGTGGGCAATTTTCTCAGTGGAGGGTGGTAAGCAGTGGGGTACCGCAGGGATCAGTACTTGGTCCACTGCTTTTTAACTTGTTCATTAATGATTTGGAGATGGGAGTAAGCAGTGAAGTGGCTAAATTTGCGGATGATACAAAGTTGTTCAGGGTGGTGAAAACCAGTGAGGATTGTGAGGCACTCCAAGGGGATCTGTCAAGGATGGGCGAGTGGGCGTCAACATGGCAAATGGGGTTCAATGTGGCCAAGTGCAAGGTGATGCACATTGGAGCCAAAAATCCTAAATATAAATACACATTGATGGGGTCTGAACTGGCAGAGACTGAGCAAGAGAGAGATCTTGGAGTTGTAGTGGATAACTCACTGAAAATGTCGAGACAGTGTGTGACTGCAATAAAGAAGGCCAATGCTATGCTGGGGATTATTAGGAAGGGTATTGAAAACAGATCAGCCAATATAATAATGCCCCTATATAAATCAATGGTGAGACCTCATTTGGAATACTGTGTGCAGTTCTGGGCACCACACCTTAAAAAGGATATTATAGCTTTGGAAAAAGTGCAGAAAAGGGCAACTCGAATGATAAAAGGGTTGGAACACTTTCCCTATGAGGAAAGGTTAAAGCGCTTAGGGCTCTTTAGCTTGGAGAAAAGACGACTGAGGGGTGACATGATCGAGGTTTATAAGATTATGCATGGGAAAGAGCAGGTAAAGAAAGAGGTACTTTTCTCCCTTTCTCACAATACAAGAACTCGTGGGCACTCCATGAAACTGCAGAGCGGTCGGGTTAGAACGGATAAAAGGAAGTACTTCTTCACCCAAAGAGTGATTAACACATGGAATTCACTGCCACAGGAAGTGGTGGGTGCTACAAGCATGGACGGCTTCAAAAGGGAATTAGATAAGCATATGGAACTGCTGGACCTCCTGATGGCACCTGGTATTTCTGGCCACTGTGTGACACAGAGTGTTTGACTGGATGGGCCTTTGGCCTGATCCAATGTAAAGAGCAGAGGTCCATCAGTGGCTATTAGCCACAAGGTATAGCTAGGGGCTCTGGGGCAAGTGATGCTCTGTCTTCTTGGTGCCTGGGGGGGGTCAACAGTGGGTGGGCTTCTAATGTCCTGGCCCCACTGCTGGACCTCCTGATGGCACTGGTATTTCTGGCCCCTGCGTGACACAGAGTGGTGGACTGGATGGGCCTTTGGCCTGATCCAACATTGGCTCCTCTTATGTTCAGAGCGAACTCATTGATGCAGCAGCCCAATCGCTCGCTCACAAATTTAATGCCAGTAGCTCACAAAGCAGAATTTTTGCTCACAAGACTCCACAGCTTAGAAGGAGCATACCTTCCTCCTAGGAGAGGTACTCCAAGTCCTTCATCTTCTCGGTTGCCCACAGTCCTCTGTACCTTTTTTCATGCTTCTTTGCTTGCTGAGTTTACATTCATGGCCTGTGGGGGTACCAGGAAGAAATGTAAACTGGCCACCCCCCAAATCAGGTGCTGGAAATCTTGCCGATTTTTGTTTTAAGAGCAAGAAACGCCTCTTTTCAGAAATAAAAAAGTGATGCTTTGAAGGCTGCTAAGTCCTGCCCACGGGCGATCCCCTGTCTCAGCCGAGTGCATTCTTCTCTTCACTTGGTGCGTGTCAAGCCCTTTAGATGTTTGGTTGCCCCTCTCTGGAACTGATGCAGTCTGAGTGACTCAAACCTTCCTCTGTTCCTTCTCAGGACCAGGAGCTGTTTTTCTTCCACGAGCTGAGCCCCGGGAGCTGTTTCTTCCTTCCTAAGGGAGCCCACATCTACACCACTCTCATGGACTTCATTAAGGTGCGCCTCCTACCGTGTCGGGTGGTGGTTAGAGAGCTGGGCCGTTATCTGGGAGAACAGCGGTGATTGCACAGTACAGTATAGTCATGAAGCAAAAATGCACTGTATAAACAACGCAGATTTTAAAAAAGCGCTCAAATAATATACACAAATAGTGAAGGATGTTTATATATAACAAAGTGACACGATACTAGCAAGGAGTAACAAGAAACTACATATATCAGTAATGGCAAGATTACAAGAGAGCCAGTCCGGTGTAGTGGTCAAGTGCGCAGACTCTAATCTGGGAGAACCGGGTTTGATTCCCCACTCCTCCACTTGCACCTGGCTGGATGACCTTGGGCAAGCTGTAGTTCTGACAAGAGCTGTCCTTGAAAAAGAGCAGTTTCTGTCAGAGCTCTCTCAGCCCCACCTACCTCCCAGGGTGTCTGTTGTCTAATCTGGGAGAACCGGGTTTGATTCCCCACTCCTCCTCCACTTGCACCTGGCTGAATGAACTTGGGCAAGCCGTAGTTCTGACAAGAGCTGTCCTTGAAAAAGAGCCGTTTCTGTCAGAGCTCTCTCAGCCCCACTGACCTCACAGGGTGTCTGTTGTCTAATCTGGGAGAACGGGGTTTGATTCCCCACGCCTCCACTTACAGCTGCTGGATGACCTTGGGCAAGCCATAGTTCTGACAAGAGCTGTCCTTGAAAAAGAGCCGTTTCTGTCAAGAGCTCTCTCAGCCCCACCTGCCTCCCAGGGTGTCTGTTGTGGGGAGGGGAAGGGAAAGGAGTTTCTAAGCCGCTCTGAGACTCCTTCAGGTAGTGAAGGGTGGGGTGTAAATCCAATCTCTTCTTCTTCTTCTACATAAGTATAATACAAAAATACAAAAAGTAATGCCGAGCGTACAAAGGAAACTGGCACAGAAGACACAGGGATGAAGACTCCAGATTTCAGTCTTCCTTTCGATAGCTCTTCCTCAGTAACTTCATTACACTTCATAAACGCTCATAGAAGAAGAGAAGAAGAAGAGATTGGATTTATCCCCCGCCCTTCACTACCCAAAGGTGTCTCAGAGCGGCTTAGAAACTCCTTTCCCTTCCCCTCCCCACAACAGACACCCTGTGAGGTAGATGGGGCTGAGAGAGTTCTTTCGAGGACTGCTCCTGAGAGAACAGCTCTGAGAGAACTTGTGACTGACCCAAGATCACCCAGTTGGCTGCATGTGAAGGAGTGGGGAATCAAAGAAGATTAGATTTATACCCCACCCTTCACTACCCAAGGGAGTCTCAGAGCGGCTTACAAGCTCCTTTCCCTTCCCCTCCCCACAACAGATGCCCTGTAAGGTAGGTGGGGCTGAGAGAGCTCTTGACAGAAACGGCTCTTTTTCAAGAACAGCTCTGACAGAACTATGGCTTGTCCAAGGTCATCCAGCAGCTGCGAGTGGAGGAGTGGGGAATCGAGGAGAAGAAGGAAGGAGATTGGATTCATACCCCTGCCGTACACTGCCCGAAGGAGTCTCAGAGCGGCTAACAAACTCCTTTCCCTTTCCCTCCCCACAACAGACACCCTGTGAGGTGGGTGGGGCTGAGAGAGCTCTTTCGAGGACTCCTCCAGAGAGAGCCGCTCTGAGAGAACTTGTGACTGACCCAAGGTGACGCCAGCAGCTGCATGTGGAGGAGTGGGGACTCAAACCCGGTTCTCCCAGATAAGAGTCCGCGCACTTCACCACGACAGCAAACCAAACAGCCAGTCTAGAGATCCAAGTTAAAGCACCCTTCTGGAGCAGGCTAATCTTTAGCTACCCCTGGATGACCAGTAGGAAGGGGGATCACATGCCATTCTGGAGGGACACCCCACACCGAGGGGGGGGGGCCACAAGTCCCAACCCTGTATGTAACGGAAGGAGCCTTGCCTCTCAAAAGCCCCAGAGAATCTTGCTGGTCTCTCAGATGTGACCGGACTTTAACCTAGTTGTTCTGCCGCAGGCCAACAGGGCTATCCTCAGAATAAGTCCCACTCTGTTGTTCTTCCTACTCTTGGAGCCAGATTTGGTGTCGTGGTTAAGTGCGCGGACTCTAATCTGGGAGAACCAGGCTTGATTCCCCACTCCTCCACTTGCACTTGCTGGATGACCTTGGGCCAGTCACAAGTTCTCCCAGAGCTGTTCTCTCAAGGGCAGTCCTCGAGAGAGCTCTCTCAGCCCCACCTACCTCACAGGCAGTGTTCCCTCTAAGCGGAGTTAGTGTGAGCTGACTCACAGTTTTTTTAGCCTCCGGCTCACGCATTTTTGTCTCAGCTCAGGAAGGGTGGCTCCACAGCAAACTAATTTATGCAGTAGCCAAATCGTTCGCTCACAGTTTTAATGCCAGTAGCTCACAAAGTAGAATTTTTGCTCACAAGACTCCACAGGTTAGAGGGAGCATTGCTCACAGGGTGTCTGTTGTGGGGAGGGGAAGGGAAAGGAGTTTGTAAGCCGCTCTGAGACTCCCTTGGGTAGTGAAGGGCGGGGGTATCTCCTCCACCTCCTTCTAGGAACCCGTTTGGTGTCGTGGTTAAGTGCGCGGACTCTAATCTGGGAGAACCGGGTTTGATTCCCCACTCCTCCACATGCAGCTGCTGGTATGACCTTGGGTCAGTCACAAGTTCTCTAAGAAATGTTCTGTCAAAGGCAGTTCTCGAGAGAGCTCTGTCAGCCCTACCCACCTCCCAGGGCATCTGTTGTGGGGAGGGGAAGGGAAAGGAGTTTGTAAGCCGCTCTGAGACTCCCTTGGGTAGCGAAGGGCGGGGTAGAAATCCAATCTCTTCTCTTCTTCTTCTTGGAAGAGTGCGGAGAACAGAGACGGCCGGCCCCCGCAGTGGACAGGAGAAATGCCAGAGTTAATGTGGGGCGCAGTCCAGTTCCCCAGCGCAAGCCCTGCTGGTGCGGATGGGCTGTCGTGCTCTTGAGCCTCTCCCGTTCCGACCCCCTGGGCCCGCGCAGGGAAGCCTCCTGTTGGCCTGCCGCCTGCCACGGCTGCGCTGGTTCTGCACCCCACTCCCCTTGCCCGCCTTCAGCGGTGCCCCTGTGTCTGCCCCTGCTTTTTCCAGGGCGAGTATCTGAAGCGCGGCTTTTCCGAAGTCATCACCCCCAATATCTACAACGTGAAGCTGTGGGAGATCTCCGGGCACTGGCAGCACTACGAGGAGCACATGTTCTCCTTCCGGGTCAACAACGAGACGCTGGCCCTGAAGCCCATGAACTGCCCCGGGCACTGGTGAGTTGCGGAGGGGTCATGGGTGTCGCCCTGCCGGGAGGGGGGAAGCACTGCCGTGGAGGCCAAGATCAGAAGGCCAGGATTCTCAGCCGCTCACCGGGAAGCCGGATTTTTTTTAAACACCTCTTATAAGTCTAGGAGCCAGGAGCTGCGGTGGCTCAAGTGGTTAAGATGCTGAACTGCAGGCTGTGGAAGGTCAGTAGTTCAGCAGTTCAAGACCTGGGTGCCGCATGACGGAGTGAGCTCCCGTCTCTAGTTCCAGCTCCTGCCAACCTAGCAGTTCGAAAGCAAGAAATGGCAAGTAGATAAATAGGTACCACTTCGGTGGGAAGGTAACAGCGTTCCGTGCGCCTTGGTGTTTAGTCATGCCGGCCACATGACCACGGAAACGTCTTCGGACAGCGCTGGCTCTTCGGCTTTGAAACGGAGATGAGCACCGCAACCCTAGAGTCGGATTCGACTGGCTTTCGAGCAAGGGAACCTTTACCTTTATAAGTCTAGGCCAGGGGTGGGCCAAACTGTGGCTCGGGAGCCACACGTGGTTCTTTCACATGTATTGTGTGGCTCCCGGCAGGGCGGCCGGGGAAGCAAAATATCTTTCTTGTTGTTTTTTTTAAAGTACTTGGGGTTTATATCCCACCCTACCCAAGCGGCTCAGGGCAGCGAACAAGCGGCAATGCCGGAATAAAATATAGAATACGTTAAAACATTAAATACATACAAACTAAAATGGTGCTCTACGGTTCACTAAATTTCCCAAGATGCACAGTGTCCCTCGTTGGTGGCCGGTGTTGTAGTGGCGTGAGCGCCAGGAGTGATGTTCCTCATCAGGGTGGCATCTACCCCCCTCCCAGATAAGGTAGATGGTAGGGTCGAGTCACAATGGTGGTATAGTGACGGGGGTGGCTCCTACTCAAAAGCCTGGCGGAAGAGCTCCGTCTCGCAGGCCCTGCGGAACTGTACAAGGTCCCGCAGGGCCCGGATCTCCACCGGGAGCTCCTTCCACCAGGTAGGAGCCGTCACCGAAAACGCCCTGGCCTTGGTTAGGGCAAGCTTGATGTCTCGGGGCCCCGGAACCTCAAGGAGGTCAAGGCTCCCCGATCGCAGCGCTCTTGGGGGAACATACGGGAAGAGGCGGTCCCTGAGGGGATTATTTATTATTTTCCATTATATACTACAGACATATATAAAAACCAACAACATAAAAACTACCATTAACAAACATTAAACATATAACAGGGGGCTTTCCCCATCTTCTATCCTTCGGTTATCTAATTATTACATTTCAAATCTCATTATCTATTTTACTAGCTTTTCTTTTCTGCGTACTCAAATTCCATCAGGTTGTTATGCTTATATTATACCAGTCATAAAATCTCTTCCAAGTTTTTTGAAAAGTCCATTCCGTTCCCGCTCTCATCTCCAACGTCAATTTATCATTCTCTGCCGTTTCAAGCAGCTTATTCACGTATTCTTGTTTCGTTGGAGTCTCCATTGTTTTCCAGTGTTTAGCATATAAAATCCTTGCAGCTGTTGACAAATAAACAATCAAATACCTATCTGCTTTATCAAAGTCTTTCGGAAATATATTCAATAACAATATCTCTGGAGTAAATGGGACCTTAGTTCTTATGATTTTTTGCATTATCTCATGTACCCATCTCCAAAACCTTTTTGTAACATCACATAGCCACCACATATGATAAAATGAACCAGTCTTATTCTTACATTTCCAACATTTATCTGAGCTAGTAGTGTTTTGTTTAGCTAATCTATCTGGTGTAATATACCATCTATAAAACATCTTATACACATTCTATGATACAGCATTAGTCAATTTTAATGTTTTTCAACCAAATCTGCTCCCACTCCTCAAAATTAATATTACGCCCAGTATTCTGGGCCCATGCAATCATGTTTTTTTTCACCGTTTGAAACGGAAGTGAAATATCATTAGCAAACAAATATCACTGGACAAATAAATATCATTACCAATATCTGCTTTCACCACTTTTGTCATTATTTTTGGCAGTCTCATTTACTGTTAATAAAAAGCAAATTTGCAACCAAGATGGTTAGAGGGTTGGAATCCAAGTCTTATGAGGAAAGTCTTATGAGGAAAGCTCCTGGGGAATCGGTAGGCACAATGCCCTGGCCATGCCATGTTCATTTAAAATATTTCTACATCCCTCTGCTTGTCCCTTCCCATAGCCTGATGTTTGGCCACCGCCCACGATCCTGGCGAGAGCTGCCCCTCCGGCTGGCCGACTTTGGGGTCTTGCATCGAAACGAGCCCTCGGGATCCCTGACGGGCCTGACTCGAGTTCGCCGGTTCCAGCAGGACGATGCCCACATCTTCTGCGCCATGGATCAGGTGAGAGCCCGGAGGGGTGGCAGACCCACCGAGATCACCGGGGGTGGCTTCCCAGCGTGTGACAGCAGTGGTAAAGGCTCAGCAGATGGACGTTTATTTATTCAAAACATTTCTATGCCGCCTTTCCACCCCATTCAGTATCCCCAGTGCAGGAACCATCGCCAACATTAAGAAGCATTTACTATATGTAAGGAGACAGTTTGGTGAAGGAACCAGTTTGATGTAGTGGTTAAGTGCACGGACTCTAATCTGGGAGAACCGGGTTCGATTCCCCCACTCCCCCCACTTGCAGCCAACTGGGTGACCTTGGGCAAGCCGTAGCTCTGATAAGAGCTGTCCTTGAAAAAGAGCAGTTTCTGTCAGAGCTCTCTCAGCCCCACCTGCCTCACAGGGTGTCTGTTGTGGGGAGGGGGAGGGAAAGGAGTTTGTAAGCCGCTCTGAGACTCCTTTGGGTAGTGAAGGACGGGCTATGAATCCAATCTCCTCCTCCTCCTCCTCTTCTTCTTCTTTATATACTATTTATTATATCTGTCTATCGATATCCATTGATAGAATATTTAGAACAGTTAAATAAAGCATACAGCTACTAAAACTGATTAAAAACACACAAACCAGAAGAGGGCTAATAAGCGTTCATAAGGGGGCAGGGCCTTCTTTGTAGGGGCACCAGGGTTGTTGAATTTGATCCCCTGCAAGGTCCCTTTGGCTCAATCCCCCCCGAAAAGAAAGGTTTTTCAGAGTGCTTTTTGTTGACAGTAATTATAGGATACTGTTGCTATCAAGGTAGAGATTGAGTTGGGGTTCTGAATTTGTTGGCCTGTATTTTTGGTTTCTTTTGGTTTGTGCTGGTTTGTGAGGGATGGGGAGTGGAGAGGATATTCCTTTTGGATCTGGAGCAGCCCGGCAGCTTTCCTCCATTTTATTTCTTTCCCCTCCTGACAGCTGCGATCCAGGGATGATCAATGATTCGTAGGTGTTGGGTTATTTTTGTGCTTTAACTATCAGGTTGGATCCCGCAGGTGTTCTGTTAATGGCAACGCCTTCTGTTCTGTTAATGTTAATTCTGTTCTGTTAATGGCAACGCCTAGAGAGCCAGTTTGTGTGTTGTGGTTAAGTGCGCGGACTCTAATCTGGGAGAACCGGGTTTGATTCCCCCACTCCTCCACTTGCAGCTGCTGGATGACCTTGGGCAAGTTGTAGTTCTGATAAGAGCTGTTCTTGAAAAAAGAGCAGTTTCTGTCAGAGCTCTCTCAGCCCCACCTGCCTCCCAGGGTGTCTGTTGTGGGGAGGGGGAGGGAAGGAGTTTGTAAGCCGCTCTGAGTAGTGAAGGGTAGTGTATAAATCCAATCTCCTCTTCCTCTTCTTCCTCACAGGGTGTGTGTTGTGGGGAGGGGAAGGGGAAGGAGTTTGTAAGCCACTTTGAGACTCCTTTGGGTAGTGAAGGGCGGGGGATAAATCCAATCTCCTCCTCCTCCTCCTCCTCCTCCTCCCCCCAGATTAGAGTCTGCCACTCTTTATCACTACACCAAACTGGGTAGAAAATGGATAAGAAATAAAAAATAACACGGTGCCTTTGTGGCTGACGCAGGCCTGGGAACTGCGGACTCCATTCTAAGCCCATGTTGCAGAAGTGTTTGCTTTTCAACTGAATGTGACTTTGCGCCAGAACACTTTTGCAGAGGGGAACGTCTGTCAAATGGGAGATGGCAGGGGTGGGACAAACGGGGGGGGGCAATCCTCCCCCAGTCCTCCAGCCCCCCTGCCCTGAGTGTCATTTTTTCTCCCCCTCCCCACATAGCTGGAAGGAGAGATCCGTGGTTGCTTGGAGTTCCTGCAAGCCGTCTATTCCGTTTTTGGATTTGCTTTACGCTTCTACCTCGCCACCCGCCCCGACACATTTCTAGGGGACCCTAACCTTTGGGATCAGGCGGAGCAGGTAAGAACGCCCCCCTCCTTTCTCGTCAGCTGTGTAGGCCCTGCTTGCCGCCCCATCCACACACTTCCAGGAAGGCTTTACTTTTATTGAAAAGCCATAGATGCAGTAACATGAATACTGTTAAGAATGGCGGGATACCTATGTGCATAATGAGATATAGGGCATTCGTATGCACCCCCCCACACACACACAGCCATGGCCAATTAGGCCCAGTCCTGCGCGCGGGATATTGTCAAACTCTCTAACGGTTGCGAAGCTGGGAACGAAAGAAGCTCCCACGAAAGATAGACACCACATACTCTCCAGTACAACTTTGAAGATAAGCGTTACAGCTGCGAAGCAATTAAGCGCATGAAAAGGAATGCAAAGTTATGAGTAACTCTCCCCACCTTCATGGCATCATAGCTGACAGCGCGCCGCATCCACGTCACCAGGAAGTGATGCGACCACGCCGGGCACGCTGGGGGCGGAGCCACGACCATCCGAGGGAAAACCATAGAGTTTTCCCTGGGATGACCGTGGCCCCGCCCCCAGCGTGCCCGGCGTGGTCACGTCACTTCCTGGTGACGTGCACGTCAGGGTGGAGTTCCCCCCGGCGCCCGATCCAACGGCGGCGGGGAACGGGCCTCGGGCTGGGGTTTCCCCGCCCCCCGGGGGGACTTGGCAAGCCTAGAGTCCCACAGCAATCAGCCCTCCACACTTTCTCTCCAAAGAGTCAAGCTTTATTGGAGGCAGGAAAGGCAGGTCATCTGTTATACACATCCGGTGTCAGAACTGATCTTAAGGCGGGAGAGGGGAAAGAGAGACAGGGTTCAAAAGGGACCCTCCTGATGGCTCCAGGCCTATCAGCGAAGAAAGGCAAGTGCCCCGAAAATAACGGGTGCACGTACCGAGTCAATGAAAACGGGGAAACGCCAAAGTCACTAGAGCAGGCTACATGATAAGGCACTGAGGGTGCGTTCAGACGGGGGCTTTCTGCCGGCATAAACTGCACCGGTTGGAACCGGTGCAGTTTATGCCAGCAGAAACGCGATCAAACTTACCTCAATTTTGCGGTTCCCATTGTTGTACGCCCGGTCACACGCTGCAGGCGTCGCCTTCGCGGATTTTTTTTTTTTTTTTTTTAAACACAGCTTGAGCATGCGCCATAGGCAGCCATTCACAGAATGGCGATCTTTGCGCAAGCTCAACCCCCCCGCCCATTACATTTAAACTTTAAAGGTAAGGACTTACCTTTAAAGTTTAAAGCCCAAACTGGCCTCCCTTAAGTCCCGGACTCCTCCGGGTAGGTAAAGTAAGGGTTTTTGTGTTTTTTTTAAACAAACGCTCAGGGCGAAGCTTCGCCCGAGCGCATATTGCTTAGAGTTTTTAAAAAATGGCGGGGGGGAAATGAAAGCCTCAGGCTTCTGACGGAAATGGCTAGGCACCGGTGGAGAGCGATCAGACGCCGGTATACATTGGAAGCCACCGTTGCACTCAGGATACCACCACTTGGGGACCTAGTGGCAGAGTGCAACGGTGTAAAGGGCTTTACACCGGTTAGGGACAGGAGGCAGATGTGCTCCGTCTGAACGCCGGTGAGTACAACGGTTAGAACCGGCACCCTAACCGATGTAAAGCCCCCATCTGAACGCACCCTGAGAGAAGTGAAAGCTAACATTCCAACAAGTTAAGACGGTCAGTAACAGCCTCATCCTTCACCCCGCCCCACCCCCCGCGATAGCAGCATAGCTGACAACCACCCAGGAACCCCAGAAGGCCTAGTAACTTAAGGTTGGTTCGGTGGATTCTTGCTGAACGGTGCTGGAGCGATCGGACGTGTCACCTGGCTCGCATCAAGCTTTATAACCAAGCTGCTCGTGTCCAGGGCGGGCGGCTTAGGGGGCCCTTCCTGGTCCCCATAGTCGTGTTAAAGTCTCACTCCCGCCGTCCGTTCGGCAGGGGTATTGCCTGGAGCTGCCCCTGGAACAGAGCACGGCTTCCTCTTGGCTTACTGGGGTTGAACAAAAGGAACAGGGTCCCCCCCCCATTCTTGCCCGCTTGAAATTAAATCAGAAGAGTTTCCGGCTAAACGGGAGGAAGAACTTCCTGACGGTTGGAGCGGTTCCAGCTCCTGCCAACCTAGCGGTTCGAAAGCAAAAAATTGCAATTAGATAAATAGGTACCATTTCAGTGGGAAGGGAACAGCGTTCCGTGCGCCTTGGTGCTTAGTCATGCCAGCCACATGACCATGGAAACGTCTTCGGACAGCGCTGGCTCTTCGGCTTTGAAAGGGAGATGAGCGCCGCAACCCTAGAGTCGGACTCGACTGGCTTTCGAGCAAGGGAACCTTTACCTTTTATGGGTGTTTTTACCATTTAATGAATTTGTTATCGCATGTTTATTACGGCTCCTTGTTCACATCCTACTCTCCCATTCCGAGCCTACGGGGGTAGATTTTGCTTTCCTGAACTTGTGGAAACAGGAGTGGAAGGGACGGGTCTGTCTGTCCGTGGGCTTAGGAGGAGGCAGATGACCCCTCACAACGGGTAGGATCTCTGAGCTTCGTGCAGTCTCAAAAGCATTCTGGAGGGGAACCCGCCGCCTGTCTGGCTTCCCGGGCGAATGATGCGTCACTCCAGTTTGGTGTTGTGGTTAAGTGGGCGGACTCTTATCTGGGAGAGCCGGGTTTGATTCCCCACTCCTCCTCCACTTGCGCCTGGCTGGATGGCCTTGGGCAAGCCATAGTTCTGATAAGAGCTGTCCTTGAAAAAAGAGCCGTTTCTGTCAAGAGCTCTCTCAGCCCCGCCTACCTCGCAGGGTGTCTGTTTTGGGGAGGGGAAGGGAAAGGAGCTTCTAAGCCGCTCTGAGATTCCCTTGGGTAGTGAAGGGTAGGGTATAAATCTAATCTTCTTTGATTCCCCACTCCTTCACATGCAGCCAACTGGGTGACCTTGGGTCAGTCACAAGTTCTCTCAGGAGCAGTCCTCGAAAGAACTCTCTCAGCCCCACCTACCTCACAGGGTGTCTGTTGTGGGGAGGGGAAGGGAAAGGAGTTTCTAAGCCGCTTTGAGACACTTTTGGGTAGTGAAGGGCGGGGGATAAATCCAATCTCTTCTTCTTCTCCTCCTCCTCCTCCTCCTCCTCACAGGCAATGTTCCCTCTAAGCTTTGGAGTCTTATGAGCAAAAATTCTACTTTGTGAGCTACTTGCATTAAAGTTGTGAGCATTAAATTGGCTCTGAAGCCATCCTTCCTGAGCTGAGACAAAAATGTGTGAGCTGGAGGCTAAAAAACTGTGAGCTAGCTCACACTAACTCAGCTTAGAGGGAACACTGCTCACAGGGTGTCTGTTGTGGGGAGGGGAAGGGAAAGGAGTTTGTAAGCCGCTCTGAGACACCTTTAGGTAGTGAAGGGCGGGGTAAACTTCCGATCTCCTCCTCCTCCTCCTCCTTCTTCTTTCCCTTGCTCTAAAGCAGGAGAGCCAGTTTGGTGTAGTGGTTAAGTGCGCGGACTCTAATCTGGGAGAACCAGGTTTGATTCCCCACTCCTTCACTTGCAGCTGCTGGATGACCTTGGGCAAGCCGTAGTTCTGATAAGAGCTGTCCTTGAAAAAAAGAGCGGTTTTTTGCGGTTCTTGGTCAGAGCTCTCTCAGGAGGAGAGAGGAGGAGACATCTGCGGTCCGTTCCCGCCGAGACATCTGCTGCGACTCACGACTTCTCTCCCTTCTCTTGTCTTTCAGCTGCTGGAGAAAAGCCTCCGGGATTTTGGCCAGCCGTGGGAGCTGAACCCTGGGGATGGAGCCTTCTACGGGCCTAAGGTAAGCATCTTTTTCCTGTGCTGGCCATCCCGGGTTGTCTTGAGGGTGTTGGTTGCCATCCGTGAAGAGCGTGCGTGGCGTTCGTCATGTTTTGCTGCTTTTTTTTTTTTTTAAAGACCCCCTTATATCAGGGGCATCGAACTCAGTTGTCACAAGGGCCGGATCTGACATAAACGTCACTTTGTCGGGCCGGGCCGGGCCACGTGTGTCGTAAAACGTAATGCCGGGCTCCGGAGATAGAAACTGTATAAAGGACAGCAGCTGGTAAGCTCCAAGTTGGTGTGGGTACAGAGGAAAACCCGTATGGGCAGACTTGGAGAGCCAGCGGTGCAGCTCTGGGAAGGCGCTCCCACACTGCTTGACTGCTGCAGACGAGGTTGTTCCGCCACGCTGAAGCCACTATCAGTGGCTCCGTCCACTCCCCCTTGAGCAGTCTCCTGTTCCCTCCCTTGCACTAGTTGCTCGCGGGCTGCATAAGAGCCCTGGACGAGCCAGTTCCAGCCCTCAGGCCTTATATTTGACACCCCTGCCTTGTGTCTGTTGTGGGGAGGGGAAGGGAAAGGAGTTTGTAAGCCGCTCTGAGACACCTTTGGGGTGTGAAGGGCCATGGGGTATAAACCCAGTCTCCTCCTCCTCCTCCTCCTCCTCTTCTTCCAGATTGGTGTCGTGGTTAAGTGTGCAGACTCTAATCTGGGAGAACCAGGTTTGATTCCCCCACTCCTCCACTCGCAGCTGCTGGATGACCTTGGGCAAGCCACATTTCTGGTCAGAGCTGGAAAAGAGCAGTTTCTGTCAAGAGCTCTCTCGGCCCCGTCTACCTCACAGGGTGTCTGTTGTGGGGAGGGGAAGGGGAAGGCGTTTGTGAGCCACTCTGAGACACCTTTGGGTAGTGAAGGGCGGGGCATAAATCCAATCTCTTCTTCTCTTCTGTAATGGCCACTGTAGGGTTCATTACATCCTTATTACCTCCTTGCCTGCCTTAGTGTTTCCAACTTATTTTCGCTGCCACCAAAGGCCCTCGCCTTAGAATTCTTAGGCTCCGGTCACACGGGCTGGAAAATGCAGGTGGAAGCGTGGCTGTTTGCCCCGGAGCAAAATAACACGCGGCTGCGCAATCAGACGTCCAGTTGAGGTCCCATCGAGGTCCCGTGGTTAGGGGGGAGGTGCCGATCTCACCACAGGCAAAGAAACGGGGCGGCACGGCAAACGGCGTTGTGTTTTTTTTTTAAAAAAAAACTGAAGTGTGCGCATGCTCAGTTGGGTGCTTGTGCGCATCCCATGGAGACTGGGGGAGGGGAACCTTTTTGCGAGGGGACATGGGTGGGCGCCGGATGCCACCGAAAACGCGATCAGATGCCCGCCATTACCCCGCAGTTTCCGAAAACTAGTACCTCGGAGGTACTAGTTTCTTACACCGCATCTTCGGCGGGAAGCCTCGGGTGAGCCACGGGAGCTCTACGCTTCCCAGATGCGGCGGTGTGATCGCGCCTGGAAAATCCGCCTATCTTCCGTCTCTGTAGCGTGTCTAATGCTCTGTGTGACCGCAGCCTTAGTTGAACTGAAAGAGCAGGACAGCTTAGTTATATTTGGCAGAATGGCAGGACGGTCACATGAACACATGAAGCTGCCCCATACCAAATCAGACCCCCTTAGGTCAGTATTGTCTACTCCGACTGGCTGCAGCTCTCCAGAATCTCAGGCAGAGGTCTTTCCCATCACCCGCTGCCAAATCCTTTAACTGGAGATGCTGGGGTTTGAACCTGGGACTGTCTGGATGCCAAGTAAATGCTCTACCATTGAGCCACATCCCAAGTCAGCAGGTGGGGATGGCTCTGAGGTAAAAGGGGTGTCCTTTACGCTAAATAAAGCAGATTCATGTAGGGTAGCCATGTTGGTCTGAAGCAGCAGAACAAAGTTTGAGTCCAGGGGCACCTTCAAGACCAACAAAGATTTATTCACGGTATAAGCTTTTGTGCGCTTTCGGTATCTGAAGAAGTGTGCTTGCACACGAAAGCTTATGTCGTGAATAAAACCTTGTTGGTCTTAAAGGTGCCACTAGACTCAAACGTTGTTCTAAATAAAGCAGTTGTTTTCTCTTAAACAGAGTTTATTTAGAAGTAAAAAGAGCAAAATGGTTTCTGTAGGGTTAATAAGCGTAATGGTTTCTAATAGGTGTACAGTTCTTCTTTCATTAAATAGACCTCGCCACAAAGGCAGAATTTCTTGACTTGCCACTTAGGTTAATAATTTCCACAAAGGACACAGTTTTCTCTCACATGCCATGCTCTTCACCCACTCCCTTCTTCTTTGACACACACAAATGTCTCCAAACCAGTCGACTCTGCCCCGTAGGGTGTAGCCGCCATCCTATCATAACACATTTCAGTCATCCATCCATCCAACATCTCTCCTCCTTACTGTTGAGGCCTCCATTTTAAACCACAGCAACATACACCTAAAACCCCATATGAAAACACAGAAATAAAACGCACGCACAATATTTATATAAGCAAAACGCCACAGTCAGGTACTCCCAAGAAGTGACCCAGGTGTGCAGTGTCGCAGTAGTGTCCCATTACACATGAACGCACCTAATGAAGCTGCCTTCTACTGAATCAGATGCTCAGTCCATCAAGGTCACTGTCTTCTTCCTGTTGCCTTCAACTTTTCATAGCATGCTTGGTGTATAGTTTGGTGTAGTGGTTAAGCGCGCGGACTCTAATCCGGGAGAACCGGGTTTGATTCCCCACTCCTCCAATTGCAGTTGGTGGATAACCTTGGGCAAGCCGTAGTTCTGATAGGAGCTGTTCTCTCAAGGACAGTTCTCAGGAGAGCTCTCTCAGCCCCGCCTCCCTCACAGGGTGTCTGTTGTGGGGAGGGGAAGGGAAAGGAGTTTGTAAGCCGCTCTGAGACTCCAAGTGAAGGGTGGGGTATAAATCCAGCCTCCTCCTCCTCCTCCTCCTCCTCCTGCTGCTGTGACTCGTCTCATAATGCGACCAGTCTGATCACTGTAGCTTCTAGGCACAGGTCAGGCTTTTAATTTCTTACCATTTATTTAAAAGTGGCTTTTGTTGGGTTGGATCCCGCAGGTCTGTTCGACTTACAGTAGCATTTCCCCAAGTGTAAGGAGCTTCCCACTGACCGCCAACTTGCTGGGAACCAAACGCTCCAGTTATCGGTACTAAGCTTTTCTCAGGCTCTGCTAATTAAAACAAAAAGCTGCTGCCATCCTTATCACCCACCTGCTTGGCCTTGAGTGTTGCATGGTTCACTAACAAGCTCTACGTCTGGGCATGCGTCTGGGTTGCTAAGCGAGGGATAATAAACAATACCCAAAGCAGGAGGAAATTACACGGGTTACAAACTACAGGAACAAAGCATGCGCAGAGTGCATAGACCATACATCAGTACACCCCCTCAAAACTTCATTTCCCCTCATTCCCAGGGTCTCCCGGCCATTCCGGGAGAATCTCCCGGTCATTCCGGGAGACCTCCCGGTTTGCCCGGGAAATCCCGGTGAAACTTCCTGATCATGTACGGGGCCCGAATATCCCCTTCTTCCACCCATTCCCGGTGCTGGGGTCCGAAGTCTTTCCATTCAACCAGATACCATAGTTTTCCACGTTTACATTTAGAATCCAAAATACATTCAATTTCATAGTGTTCCTGATCATCCAGCAACACTGGTAAAGGCGGGGTGTGTTTTTCCCGCCATTCAGAAGAACCGTTGTCCTTTTTCAGGAGGCTGAAATGAAATACAGAATGCAAAGATCTCAAATTCTTCGGTAACTCAACATCCACAGCTACATCATTAATCACCTTTTTGACTTTAAAGGGGCCGATGTACTTCCAGCCCAATTTCCTGCTTGGTCTTAACATTTTAATGTTCTTTGTAGAGACATACACCGAGTCACCAGGCCTCAGAGCCCAACCCTCCACCCTTCCTCTGTCGGCCTGCTTCTTGTAGGCAGCTTTGGCCGCATCCAAAGTTTTACACAATGAAGGCCAAGCTTCCTGCAGTTGTTTACACCAGGTGTGTGTGTGTCCCCCACCTTCCACGGTCTGTCCCTCCAACATAGGAATAGGAGGGCTGTCATAACCATACAACGCTTTAAAAGGGGACATCCCAATTGACACATGAAATGAATTGTTGTAACAATATTCAGCCAAAGGTAAGAGGTCACACCAATTGTCTTGTTGATAGTTTGTGAAGCATCTCAAATACTGTTCTAGAGTTTGATTAACTCTTTCTGTTTGTCCGTCAGTTTCTGGGTGATAGGCACTGCTGAGCCCCCTTTCTACCCCCAACAGATTCATGACCTCAGTCCAAAATTTCGAGACGAATTGTGTCCCTCTGTCGGACACCACCTTTTTTGGCAACATATGTAGCCTCACCACGTGAGAGAGAAAAGCCTTTGCCAGTGCTTTAGCAGTAGGTAGGGAAGAAAATGGAACAAAATGAGCTTGTTTGGAAAACAGATCAACTACGACCCAAATTACTGTTTTCCCACTGCTGGGAGGCAAATCCGTTATAAAGTCCATGGATACCACTTCCCACGGCCGATTTGGGGTGGGTAGGGGTTGCAGGAGTCCGGGGGGTTTCCCCCCTGTAGTTTCGTCATGGCACACGTCTGACAGGTTTGGACGAATGTAGAAGTATCTTTGCACATTCGGGGCCACCAAAATTGTCTCCACAAAATTCTCTCTGTAACAGCTGTAATGATTTGAGGAACCCAAAATGTCCTGCCAACTTCAAACCATGTGCAGCAGTCATTACCTCCCCCCGCAAGGAAATCGGCACATACAATTTCCCCCCTTTGTACCAGCAACAATTACCTCCCTTTTGGCAACCTTCCACCCCCTCCACCAGTTCTTTATCCCCATCAGTGAAAGCAGTGGCAAATTTCTCTTCCCAGGGTGACGGGGAGAAAAGGGCCGGGTTTTTTTCCTGTGCCTTAGGGAGGTTGGCCGCTTGGCTGCGTGTCATGACTGCCCCCCCC